TGTCTAATCGATATTAGCGATAAGAAAAGTAATCAATCGATCTTGTTTACTGAAGCGACGCCAACAATTGTGGTCGACGACGAGCTAGGCCTTTCACAAAAGTTGATAATGACATGCAACGCTGATTGGACAACAGTACTGAGGTACACGAGAAGCTGGTGCCCAATGATTGGTCTGACGCGAAGAATATAATTTCTTTTTTGTTTAATTACTACAAACATTAAGATTTTGTTCCCGAGGATATTACTAAAAGCAGACTTGTTCGTTGGTTTTTACAATTCAATCAAGTGAACGTCATTTTTTATTTATTTGCAATAGACAAGCCAGCCATATACTGCTGCAACCAGAGATGTATATATATATATATATATATATATATATATATATATATATATATAGATAGATAGATAGATAGATAGTTAGAAAGAAAGAAAGAAATATACTGAGACAAAGTGTTGATTCTCCATGTGCCTGTGAAATAGATCTCTCTCTCTCTCTCTCTCTGTCACACACACATATATATATATAGTTGTGTTAATGGGCAGCAATCACTCTTTAATGCATGTTTCGTTCAACAACACTGACAAGTTACTTTTGCTTACATTTTTGGTATATCTTTCTTGTACATTATATATATATATATATATATATATATATATATATTTAAGTTACGAAGAACTTGGTAAACCGAATGGGTAATTCCAAGGAGGATGAAATCCTGAGAGCTCAATGTGAATACAGAGCTAATATTTAATGAAAAACAGACCACTTTAAGGTACCATTACAATAATTTATTTCACCAAAATCCTTTTTAAAGGACTCCGGATCATCAGGTAACAATTCCAACAACGAAATGAAAGGAAAAATGGGATTAGAAATTGATGGGTAGTGTAATTTGTGTAATTACTCTCAAATATTATTAAATAATGAAACCTAAACCTTAATTAAGTTTACCCATATAATAATAAAGAAAAATTAGATTCATAAATTAGACTTAAAGTAAAACTAATATAGATGTTATTGTAACCGGAATTTTTTTACAATATTATAGAAATACAATTGGTCGGGTAAATAAACTATTATAACTTTTAATATTTCTTTAATATGTTCTCAATAAATGTGCTAATAAAAATAGTAGTTAATTTATATTAAGTCCCTAAACTATTTACTTAAAAAACTAAATGTTTAAATTGATAACATTCATCATTTTTAGACATCTAAATTTCTATCAAGCATTGAAATCTATCTTTTACATAATTTTGTTAAAACAAAATTACAGCCTCTTTCGATTCACTTCCATCTCCTCCTCTCTTTGCCGTAACACTCTTTTAGATATATCTGTATTACTGTCATCTGTCTCATCTCTCCTTTCCATTTTTCCTTTTCTTTTCCCCCCACTACCCTCCCATTCCTATATATCATTTCCGTTAAGTTAACCATTTAAATAGGTCACGGTTCTGTCACTCCTCCTACCCCAATATAAAGCATGCTTAAGAGAAATATGAAATTAACCCTCCCTATACTCTTCCTTGTCTCGTTAACTACAACTATCACCCTCCCTGTTAAATTACAAAATTACACTACCCATCAATTTCTAATCCCATTTTCCTTTCATTTCGTTGTTGGAATTTACCTGATGATCCGGAGTCCTTTAAAAGGATTTTGGTGAAATAAATTATTGTAATAGTACCTTAAAGTGATCTGTTTTTTCATTAAATATATATATATATATATATATATATATATATATATATATATATATATATATATTGTGACTGTTTTCAATAATTATTCTCTGTAACCGTACTATAATAACTGGCGTGTAAGCAGATGGTATAAAAGTTGCTGAAAGTAGACATTTTTAATTTCCAAGCCATGCAAATGTGTGGAGGAAAAACATGCGAAAAGCGAAGAATATAATATTATAATAATAATCTTCAAACACAATTCTAAATAAATTTTATTATTTAGTATTTGTTTTCTTTCAAGTTGAAAGAAACGAATTACAAATTTCCTCGCGATATCTCGTTGGTATGATAGAGAAAACAGAATGTGCATACTTAAGGAGAATGTTACGTATTTACATTGTTTAATGAATGCATGTAATTTTCTAGCAGTGAGAAAACGAGATCTATCTTATAACGACTACTAACATTTTTGTTGACATAACTCTGTTCGTATATTTTAATGTATGCTTAATTTACATTAAAATCACGAGGCTATTGCAAGACGTTACTTGATAAAAGTGTGAAATGTTGAGTAATTAATTATACGAAAAGGTGTGAGTAATCAGGTTTGCACAACCCTGTCCAAAGGTTTACCGAAAAACTGAAAAATTAACTTAACGCGACAAATATTTATAGAAAAAATGTCTCCGGAAGCTAAAAGTTAGATTTAATAAAATCAGAATTTATTGCTTAATAAATATGTTTTCAAAATTTTTAAATATCTATTTTTAGGAGGGAAAATATTAATCATTTTCTGGAGTGATCTTATATATATATGCATTCGATCTTATATATGCTTTTCTGGAGTATTCTTATATATATATATATATATATATATATATGATGAAATAAATTACAAACATCATGTCTGCTTATTTAATATTCACAAATATTTTCTCGTGTATTACAATCAAATGAGGCAAAAAATGCACTGTAGCAGTGAAAATCACTTTTATTTCCTAAGTACTAAATAAAATGGGCCTCTAGATATCTCATAGGCGTTCGATAGGCTTTGTCATGCTGGCCTTCTCCACAAGCTCAAGGACACGGTGTTTCTGGACAAATATTTGGCCTAATCCAATCGTTCCTAACAAATCGTGTAAAGAAGGTCGTATGGAATGGGTACGCTTCTTGTTCTTCAGTTCCTAACGAAGTATTTATCTTAATGACACAATTATTTACTCCTGTCTGTAGCAAATCCGACGAAGTAAAACTGGCAATTGCTCCCGAAAAGAAGCTGTAATCAGTGGTTAAATGGGACAAAGAATGGCTTGTAAATTTTAACGTCTCCCCCCAAAACTGCCTTCATTTAATCAACGGAGAGAAACTTTTCTGCCTGTCATCAGCATGACTGAGACTAAACTCCAGAAAAACATTATTTTGCGTTCTTGGACTTACTTTTCCCACTGACACGAAGTGGAGTGATTATACTGAATCAATTGCTAGGTCTACTGCAAGGAATGTTGGTTCACTGTAGCTGCCAGACAATTCTTCTTGTCAGAATCCTTGTTGAATATTTATGAATCTACCATTCGTCCGTTCGTTGAATATTGCTTCAATATCTGGTTTGGTGTTCCTACTATATATCTCAATATTCGTTACAAAACTCAAAGAAAAGTCTGTAGTGTAATCGATCCTGAGTTAGCATCTTGACTTCAGTCACTTTCCCATCGATATGATGTGGCTTCCCTCCGTCTTTTCTATAAATATTTTCATGGCAATTGTTCTGGTGAGATGTTCTCCTTGGTGCCTCGACTGCGTGGATTTAAGTGCGCTTCTAGACTGGCAACCAGGTTTCACCGTTTTACCGTTGAACTAGCTAGATGCAACCGTAAGTTCTATTCTAATATTTATTTTTCTCGCACTTCTCGCCTATGGAAATGATTTCTTGTTTCCCCGATAAATTCGCCATCTTCTGTCTTCATGAATCTTGTTTTCTTTATTGTCCTTTTTAACTTCTGCTCACAAAAGTCTTCTCATTCTTTTTACTCTCTACAACTCTCGTCCTAGTGGCATTATCGCCTTGCTTGAGTGGAAATATATATATATATATATATATATATATATATATATATATATATATATATATATATATATATATATACACACATATGTATGTATATATATATATATATATACATACATATGTATATATATTCATGTATGTATACACACACATACATACACACACACACACACACATACAAACATATATATATGCCACTTAAGATTATCGCACAAAATTTCATAACTGAATGAATTAAGCTGTCAGATCCTCATACGTCGAATCCGACGGGAGAGTCCAGTATGTATGTATGTATGTATGTATGTGTGTGTATGCATGTGTTTGTCTGTGTGTGTGTGTGTGTTCCAGCTAAATGATTAATCACTTGTAAGAAGACAGAATGTATGTTCGTTCGCAAGAGGGAGAGATCAGGATATGAGCTACGATTGAAGATGTCAGTATTAGGCAAGTACAGTAATTTACCAAACTGGGAAGACTACAGGAATATATCACCGAAATCCGAAGAAACATTGCAATTGCAAATTATGTCTTTCAAAAGAAACAAAGTATTAAGAAACAAAGATATATTTCACTCGAAACAAAGAAAAAGATTGCAGAAAAAACTCCCGCGTAATATTAATCCTTCTATATGACTGTGAATGCTGTCATTGTAAGGTTCTGCATGGCATGCACGAATATAGTCCTGGGTATGATGTTAAACTTCATCCAGCAGCAAGGCCTCTAATCGAGAGATTGGAGGTTTTGAGGGGTGTGAAATCAACTCTTAATTGTTGTTGCTCCCAGGTCCACCCTGACTCGGGGTGGTAGCACCTGTTAGTGTACCAGCTATGGGCAAAGGGTAAATCTCCAAACAAAAACAAAACACTATGAAAGTATAAAAATACATTTTTATAGTAAAAATACCAGCAATACATTTTTATATAAAATTACCAACAATATACATTTATAGTAGAATTACCCACAATAAATTTTATAGCAAAATGATTAACATTCTGTAATTGAAGGCATAGCCATAAAATTGTTTTCAAAATATTTAAATTTCTGCATAATATGACTCATAGGGGTGTTGATATGCCGCTAAACAAAATCAACCAAAGCAATCAACCAAGTGTGAACGAATTGTTGACAAACTCATTTTGTGGATCAGTAAGAGTGTAATGGGTTCAATCCTTACTGAATACTTCTTGTGTTAGTCTAAGCTAAGCTTAGGAAATACAGATTGACAGAATTTACGCCACAAAGAGTATTCAAGAATTGAACTTATGACTAATGGTTTGCGAAGCAGTAAAAGAAAGAATAGAGAAAGAGCGAAGGAAAGAGAGAGGTAAAGAAAAATAGAGTGAGTGGGAGAATAGAAAACGATGAGGGAAGAGAATGGGCAAAGAGAAGGAAAGATTAAAGAGAAGATGGAATGAGAGAACAAGAGAAACAGAGAAAACAAGGGAAAAAGAGAAGAAGGGCGTAAAGGAAAGAGAGAAAAGAGAGAAAGAGGAACGCAGATTGTTACAGAAAGAGAAGGAAAGAGTAAGGGGAATAGATAATGAGAGATCAACAGAAAGCAACGAGAGACGAAAAGAAAGAGAAAAAAGAGAGAGCAAAACAGAGACGGGAGAGATTAATGAAAATAAAATGTGAGCGTTAGGGAAATAGAGAAAAAGAGAGCAAAACAGAGAGAGAGGGTAAGTGAGAATAGAAGAAGCGATCAAAGGAAAGGAGAGCAAGGTAAAATGAGAAAGAGAGAGAGAGCAAGGAAGAGAGATAACAGAATTGGCGCTTTCTTGCATAAAGAGAGTGGGTTTGAAGAGTGGACAAAAACTATTGCAATAGCAAGAATTTGTGAGAAACTTATAAGTGCTAAATAGGAAGACGAGGGAAAAATGAAGAGTTGTTAAAAAGAAGAGTTAAAGATGAATCTTAAGGCCAAGAGGGTGGAGGAGAGGCAGCAGTTGTTGTATCGACCTATGTACGAATCTGATTATGATTCGCGACCAAAAAAAACTACCGCGCAATAATGAATAACCACATTTCGCAGTCAGTGTTATCGAATATTTAAACATAAGAAAGTAGGTAACTTGAAACTTAAACTCTCGATAAAGGAGATGGCGTAAGGCGTATTTATTTTACTTTCTTATGGGCAAAGTAAAAGCAGCGTTAAAAGGTATTTGTCGGATGATCATTAGTAACTGGAAAACTCATAACACAAGTATTTTCTACAATTGATTTTAGAAGAAAAATCTAATTCTAGTTTCCAAATCCCATCTGTGGAATAGAAATCGTTACCGAATGCGTAGACTGACCCAGAATGGAAAACTGCTGGTTAGAAAATTGCGTGGGCGTGGAATTCCGATAGTGAGTGATTGCATTTGTTTAAGTTTTGATAGAAGACCAAAAAATCGCGAAGAAGCTGAAACAACAGCACGAATTGAAAGGGTGAAAATCCACACCCAGATTCCTTAGTGAGGCAAACCAAAAGTTTCTGTGTGGTAGTTAGAATTCTTTTGTCTGAATCCTAGTATTCTTTGGGAAGCTGGTCGTTTGAAATTGTCTTGTGTGACATCATGTATAACGGCGATTGGAAACTAGGCGATTTATTTATTTATTAATTTAATTAAATTTTTATTTTTATGTTTTTTTTATGTTTATTATTATAATTTATTATTTATTTTTTTAAAACTTATTATTATAATATATTATGATAAAATATATTTTTTATTATTATAATACTGCTAAAATATGTGCGCACATTAATTATATAATATACATTTCAAGATGCCATCTCCTGTGGTTAATGATATTCTATTTAATGCGAGCTGTTTATTTTGTATAATAATAGATTCTAGAGTTTTGAGTCTTTCCTTTGCATAAGGTCTTATCTACTCGTATTTGTCTTATGTTAATAGTTGTGTTTTGATCGTTTTTGATGTGTTGCTCGAAATGTGAACGGATTGCACCAATTTTCGATTGGTTACGAGCCAATCTATGAGAGAGTGTGGTGCATGTGTGCCGGATATAAGTATTTAATGTTGTTTTTTTATTATTGGTGTTGGAGATGCAATCTTCCAGGGTGCATGAGAATTCATAGTGTTGTAGCATACCTATGGACGATAATAGGTATGTCCCCATTCCCATAAATACAGTAGTAAATACTGTTCGGTCTGTAGTTGGAGAATCGTCCCCAGCTGTGCTTGTCAAAGTCTCTGGGCAGAGAGGATCCTCATACGAGGCTATGTCGAAGGCCAGAGTCCCGTTTCGGGGAAACAGCTACCCAGCCCCGTTTATATGGAGTCTACGGGAATTTTTTGGCCGAGCCTCGGATACACCATATTAAATAAGGCCTTCTGCCACATCTGACCGCGAGGGGCGGTTGGTAGATATCCTGCATTTGGAGATTTGTCTCCAGCTGTGCTTATCAAACTCTTTGCCTCCGAACTGAGAGGATCCCTAGACGAGGCTCTCTCGAAAGGCAAAGTCTTGTCTCGGGAAACAGCTACCCAACCCCTTTTTATACGGGGTCTAGAGGGAATTTTTGGCTTAGCCTACGGGCTCTCGGATACTCCACATTAAATTCGGCCTTGTGCCACATTTGACTGCGTGGGGCGGTTGGTAGATATCCTGCAGTTGGAGATTCATTGTGGAATTCACTTGACTCACTTCCAGCAGGTGAAGACATCTACTCGCCGCTGGTGAATCTTATATGTGTTGTTCGTGTCCTAAGTATTATTGTTCACTGCCCACCTTCGTGTGATTCTTCTATTCAGTAACCTTCCCTAGCTTACAACACATAGACAACATTATTTTTACACATGGGGGATTTATAAGGCCCGAAGTTGTTGGTAAGATCTTTTAAACTTATTTTAGTACATGATAAATCTTAGATGTTTGTTAGGATCATTGAGTGATATATACCGGTAAATGTTTTTAATTGCATTTTAATCCTGTCAATAATTAGGGTGCATTTGGTGACGTTACATTAATTTAATGGTGTGTTTATTTTTGTTTGTGTCAGGGAGTGGGTTGGCGACATCTTTTTAAAAATTTCGTTACGGCTAATTCTATTTGTTCGTCGACGACGTGGTTAGGGAAATCATTGTTGACTGGGGTTTGCTTACGGTTGCTAAGTTCCTAATGTGGAAAACAAGGTCATCAATAATTCCGCCAAGATACTACATACGCACACTATATCGACAACAAATTCATATTAGCAAACAGTTTAGAAAAAATTAAAAAACTGAAGTAAATCTGTCCTACACTTTACTTACGAACTCAACATTAACAATAAAATCC